AAACTGAAAAAAATGTACATAGACACAACAGAATAATGTTAAGTCATGAAAAAGACTGAGACCCTGTCATCGGCAACAAAGCAGACCAACTGGAGATCAGTGCACAGAAAACGCCAACGCAGAAAGACAAGCACTTCAGGCGCTTCCTCACACATGGAGTTTTAAACAGTTGATCTCAGAAAGCAGAGAACAGTAGGAAGCTTTACCAGGTGCCAAGGAAAGTAGTGGGTAACTACACAAGAAAAAAGCCTAGTTAGCAGGTACTAAGCCATTCTTGGGGCCACAAACCTCAGGGGTGCTATGTACAATGGCTACAGATAATAACTATGATAAACTGTGATACTACTCTAAAAGATAGGGACATTTTGAATGTTTTACAGTAACAAAATGATAAATGCTTAAATAAATATAAAAATAGATAGAGGTCAATAGACCGAGGCACAGGGTGCATACATACTTTAATCCCAGTCAGGACAGGCAGACCTCGGAGTTTGAGGACAGCCTAATCTACAGATCAACTTCCAGACACCCAGGACTAAACAAAGAAACCCTGTCTCAAAGACTAGGAAGATAGGATATATTTAATATGATTTAATCATACACAATTTATACAACACTGAAACACTGACATGGTACTTCCACATTATGGTTTGGTTTCAGACCCCAGGACAAGGGACTGAGGATGCATATTTTACATATCAAAGCAGACATGGCCACCAGATTCTCCCAACATCCTTCAGACCCTATCTGGCATACCCTGCCCCCAATCCTGACCCTCCCAGCCCAGGAACTGGGCTGCTCTTCCCCCCAGAGGCTCTTCCCTAACAATCCACACATTTTAGTCTTCCCCCAACCTTGTCTCACTCTCTCTGTGAGCACACACTCTTTCTCTCTTTCTTTCCTCCCCCCACCCCTTTTCTTTCCCCATGGTGACTTCCTTGGCCTCTGTCCTTGGGGCCAGTGAACTTACTTCTCATTAGACCTGAATTTAATATATTCTAATCTGGCTTGAATTGGCTCATTTCATTTTATGTAGTATCAATTACTACATACTTTTTTTTTAGCTTTAAAAAAAGTACTTTTATTTTATGTGTATGAGTGTTTTATCTGTCTGTATACTCTCCCCATCTTGTCTGCAGTACCCAAGGAGGCCAGAAGATGGTGTCATATCTCCTGTGACTAATGTTACAGCTGTAAACCACTATATATGAATGCTAGGAAATGACCCTGGGTCCTCTGAAAGAGCACCCAATGTTAACTGCTGAACCATCTTCTCTCTGGCTCTCCAACTTTTATACACTCCTCTAAAAGGTAAACAGAGGGTGCTGAAGACACGGCTCACTAGTTTACTTTTCTCGCAGAAGACTCAGGGTTAGTTCTCAGTACCTACATGGTAACCCACACCCATTTTTAAATCCTGCACTAGAGGATCACAACATCCTCTCTGATGTCTATGGGCTCATGTGAGCATGCAATGCACTTACAGACATACACACATACTCACGGTTTTTAAGGTTAAATTCAGGTCAGCAAAATGGCTCAGTGGGTAAAGGTGCTTGCTGTAAAAAGCCCAGGCACCTAAGTTCCAATTCCTCTGATTTCATGTAAGGTATGAAAAAGCAACTCCACAAAGTTTTTCTCTACTCCTCAGTTGCACCCATGGCCCAAACATACATATACACATTGTGTAGACACACAGACAGAGACAGACACAAATAATACTTCTTTTTCTTTCTTCCCCCAGGCTGGCCTTGAACTCACAAAGATGTGTCTGTCTCTAACTCCTGAATGCTGGGATTAAAGATATGCAACACCATACTCCAGTCCACTAGTAATAATTTTTAAGTAAATTTAATTGCTGGAGAGGTAGCTCAGTTAGTTAGGCGCTTACCTTGTAAGCATGAAGACCTAAGTTCAAAAGGAAAAACCTGGGCAGTGGTGGCATACGCCTTTAACCCCAGCACTCCAAAACTAAGAGGCTAGACTGAGGAATTCAAGGTCACCCTCGACTGCATAGCAAGCTCATGGCAGCCTAAATTATAGGAAACCCTGTCTCAAAGGAGTATTGCTGTTAGGATGCTTTGTTAGCAAGCTATGAATCTGTTTTCATGCCAAGCACTCACAAAAAAAAAAAAAAAAAAAAAAAGGAGGAACTGCAACTACTGCTATAGATAACACTGTGGAAGAATCTCAAAGTCTTGCAGAGTGCCCTGCTTGAAGGTACACACCTTTAATCCTGGGAGGCAAAGACAGGCTGGTCCTGTTGAGTTCCAGACAAGCCCAATATATATAACAAGTTCAGGCTACCAAGGACTAAATGGTGAGGGCCTGTTCAACAACAACAAAAAAGGTATACAGAGAGGGAAAAAGTCTAGATGTCAAAAAGTTCCATATTGGTACTGTATAGCTTTGTTTACTAACATTCTCAAGGTGTCAAAACCATTAGTGCTTGCAGGGACTGTGTGGGGAGGAGTTTCAGCTTTGGTGCTGAGACTGTTCTGCACTGCATGTTGCTTACGGGGATTACACAAATCCACACAAGTGATAAAATATGACAGCACTAAACAGCAGAAAGGATTCATTTAGCATCTAGTGAAAGCCAAATATTTTTTTATTGTTGTCTGTCCTTTCTTATTTTAAGACAATGCCTCATTAACAAGCCACAGGTGCCCTGAAATACATCCCCCTCAGCCTTTTAAAACTTAGCCCAGCTCCCAAGGAGATTTCCTACAGAGTATTTTTTATAGTCTGGGAATATGGCTCAGTGTTTGAATTCCCAGATCAGATGAAAGCAGCATAGCAGTCCAGCACAAGGGAGGTGGGGGGAGGGTGTCTGGGTGTGAGTGTGTAGCTATGTGATGAGTGTGCTCAATGTCAACTTCCTAATGAGGCACTACTCTTATGATTTTGTGGAACAGAGACAAATGAATGACATATAAATAAAATTCAATCAATATAATGGACTATTACTTAGAAATATAAAGAAGTGAAATGCCAAAAACAGGATAGAACATGGATGAACCTTGAAAATATGCTAAATGAAAGAAACCTAAAACAAAGCCATATATTGACAATAAGATTTTGGCTATACTTCCTTGTACAAAAGGACCATAAATGAGGACTGATGAGGCCCTGGGTTCCATCTCTAGCACCAAAACGTTAAAAACAAAAACCATGGTTTTTTAAGACCAATTCTCCTTGCTTCCCAAGATGACTATATACTTCAGGGTTTAAGAAATCCTCCTGTCTCAGCCTCCACAAGCAGCTGGGCCTATAAGAGCATACCACCACAACCAGATCTCTAAACGATGTTTCCACTTTTAAACTATGTCTCCGTGTGTATGGGGCTGGACACAGTCACTGGCAGTGCATGTGCCTACCATTCATGAGGCTCTGCAGCTTGATCCCAGTGCCTCCCCCAAAAATAATAAATATAAGAAAAGATCTTTTCTACAAGTCAGATGTCTTGCTGAAAGTTCTGTGACTCCAGCATTTGGGAAGTCGGGAAGGGAGATCAATGCTGACTATGTGGTGACTTTAAAGCCAAATTACATAATACCGTCTCAAAAGGTATTTCCCTAATCACCCACATATACAAGTATCCTAAGGCAAATCTGTGAACTATGAGATACAGCTTATACAGAAATCTCATAATTGACGCATGATGGTCCACAGCTATAATCTCAACAATACCCAGGCTGAGGCAGGAGAACTACGTCATGGAGACTCTGTCAATCAATCAATAATTAATAGAAACTAAATCTACTTAATAACTGAATGATAATACAGTAATTCCCTGCTCCCCATACTGTCAAAACAATAACAACAACAAATAACAAGTACACTCATTGGCGCCATCTAAGAAGATGAAAGTTTGACTCAGAAAACGTTCCTGACAACTACAATGACTGCCAGTTTTCCTAGATGGCCCAAAATGGGTGTGAAATCCCCGCTGGGCTGAGACTAGGGCCAATACAAATTATAACCACCACCTAGGAGAGCAGGTTATCCCCACCCCTTGCAAAATAAAGATAGACAAATATTTCGGAATTTTATTAAAGGCAATTAATTCTGTCCTCCATAGCACCAAAGATATCACACACAAATTTCTTGCGCAAAAAGAACAGCGAAGCAAACAATGTGAGCAAAGATGTTGATAGCCGGTCCAGGAAACCCAGAGAGGAGGAAAGAGGAACACGCGGCGGCGCTCTGACGCCTAGGAAAACCCAGCTCTAGAGGAAAGGCTTCTCCGACAGCAGCTGCCCAACTGGGCTGCACGTCCAGGCTGGAGGTGGCTAGCGCTGACACATCTGAAATATCAGATGGATCCTGACCGCCGCACCACGCGGGACCCGCCCGCACACACACCCACCGCCCACTGCAGCGAGCGACCTGGGCGCAGCCGCAGCACGCAAGTAACGCTCGACCCGAGCAGAAAGTTTCGAATGAAAAACCCGAGCGCCGAAACGCACAGGTCCCGGAGCTGAACTCGCGCCAGGAACACGCCCGGAGCCAAACCACTAGACGAGCAGCTCGGGTTTTCAGCTGGCTGGCCCAGGCGGGACCGGGAGGTGGCAGAGGCGGCAGCACACTGGCTCCCGCAGCCCAGGTGTCAGGCGCGCCGCCGCTTCCCTCCGGCGCCCACTATCTGACCGGTGCGGGGCAGGAACTAGGGTGCGGACTACCGATGTGGTTAAGGGGCTCGGGATACGGACCAGGGACGCCGATCCGGGGCGCGGGATGAGAATCCGGGGCGCGGGACGCGGGGTCGAGTGCAGAGCACGGGCGGCTCGCAGGCCACCCGGCCAAGTCGCGGCTCCCGAACCCGCGGCCGCGCGCCCCTCCCCCCACCCCTCCCCCGCCGGGGCACGCAGAGCGGGCGCCGCGTCCCAGGAGACCCACCGCCCGCGGCCCGGGGACCAGGAAGCTCTGCCTGCGCGGCCGCAAGCAACCCTTGGCGGGGCGGGACAGGGTCGGGACCGAGCGCCGCGCGGACTCACTTTTTCGGATGTTTCTCTCTTTTCGGCCTCCGCTTTCGGGCCTGAATGGCCAGCACTGGGGAGAGAGAAGACACATTAACGGTCGGGGCGGCCGCCTGCGCGCCTCGAGGTGGGGCGGGGGCCGCGCGCGCCGCTCACCTTTCCTGGAGCTCATTTCGACTTGGGGCAGCCGGGCGGGGGGCTCCGCGGCGGAGGCGGCGGCGACGCGACAGTCAGCCGCACCGGGATGCAGCCTCCACTCGCTCGCCGGCCGAGGAGGCGGGAACAGCGCCTGCGCCGCCGCGGCCGCTCCCGCGGGGGCCAATGGGACCCGCCCCCGCGGCCCCGCCCCGCGGCCCCGCCCCCTCCGCGCCCCCTCCGCTTCTCCCGAGCCCTGGGGTCCGGACCCGGGCCGCGCCCTTGTCTCCGGCTCCGGGGCCCACCTGTGCGAGAAGGCGGTCGCGCGCTCACGGCCGCCCGCGCCCACGGCCTCCCGCAGCCCGCCTCCGCCTCCTTGGTTCTACGGCCGCCGCAGGCCACCGGCTCCCGGGCACTAGGCCCAGCCGCCGACCCTTCCTCCCAGCCACCGCCTCCGCTCCGCACCCCGGCAGGTCGTGCCGCACGCCTCTCCATGTGTTCTTCCTTGGCCAGCGCCTTGGCGCGTCTCACACCACCTCTAACGTGGCCTCCCCTATCCCTTTGCGCCTCTACATCCTTGCATCTCTATGAGCGCCGCTTCCTCCTCTCCGGCGGGCGTGGAAAGGGCACAAGACCAAGAGCTGGGGAACCTGGTCCTTGAGTGTCTGTGTGACCTTGGAGACGTGATTTCTTCTTTTCCTACTCCACTAGGCTGTGTGAGTTTAACGAAGGAAAGATGCACACAGCTTAAAAGCAAAGTTTGGCGCAGGAAGCCTAATTTTCTAAATATCATGAGATGAGAGCTTAAAACAACAATCATGCCAAGCAATGGGTTTTTTTCTTCCTCCTCCAATGGGGAAACTGAACCCTAAATAGGTCGAACAGTTCTACCCCCTTGTATCCCCCTATTCAGGCCTAGCTGGTTTCTTTCTCCTTCCCAGGCTACCTAAGATGTGAATCAAGCTGACTGGCACATAGTTACCACTTAAGTGTTCTCTTGTCTCTTTAAACAATTACAGTATCTTAAAGATACAGGTCCTGAGCATTCAGTCCTTTTTTGGTTACAACTGTATCATTGAATTACAACTGTATTACTGAGTCTTGCTCTAAAGATGTCCTCAACAAACAGGAAAGACTGCTCTAAGTTTGAAGAGATTTTACTTTCTCCATTTTTTTTATTTTCAAAAATCTGAAACATACAAGGAAAAATGCAGTAATCGAACTATTAACTCACATTCACTAGTTTTTTGTTTTTTGGGTTTTTTTAAAGTTTCTTCACATTTGCTCTCTGTGTGTGCATGGTGTATTTTGCTGAGTCATTCAGCAGTTTGCAGACTGTTACCCTCCACCCCTAAACATTTCGATACATAACTACTAACTAAAAACAAAGATATTTTTCTACACAATCAGAACATCGTTATCACTCTTAAGAAAATCCAATAGTATTGTTCCTATTTCTGAAATAGCCCAATAAAATATGTTTGGTGACATTTTTTCCCAACCCAAGGTCATTAGTTACTGTTAGTGCCCCTGTGGTTTTAAGTATGTTTAGAATAATCCCTGGTTTGTTTGAGACTTTTTTTTTTTTTTGAGACGGAGTTTCACTGAGTTCCAAGACTGGCCTTGAGGAGTTTACAATGTAGCCAGTCTAAATGCACCTTTGTTGCAGACCTCTTAGCTTCTCAAGTACAAGGAAGACAGGCATGCACCACTAACTGACTATTTTGAAGAATCTAGTTCTATTTTGCAGAATGTTGGTCAATTTTAATTTTGTTTGCCTAGTACTACAGTTAAGTTAGTAATTTAAGTTTGATGTATAGATGGTATGTGCCTCAATACATCAAGATGTCAGTGTATTCTGGTATGGATGATCCATTCAATCATTTCCCCAACAAAACATAACTTTTCCACTTTGTATTCTTTTTTTAAAAGGTCTCTCTTTTAAGGGGGGACCTGGTGATAAAGGACTTGAATAGACATTTCTCCAAAGACATGGAACTGGCCAACATAACAGGATGTTCAAAAATCATTAATCATTACAGCTGTACAAAGCAAAAGGAAAATGAAATCCCATGTTACACCTGGCATGACATTCTTTAAAATAGAAAGTGCCGATTGAAGCACTAAGGACACAGACAGTACTGTTCTCTTAACAGCCTAGGTTATATAGAGCATACCAGGTCGACCTCAGCTACGTAACAAAATCCTAGCTCAAAGAAAAAGAAAGGGGGGAAGGAGGCTGGGAATATAACTTAGAGGTAGAATGTTTACCAGAATGCAGTCATGGGGCCCTACCCAGGTTCACCTCTCAGATACCAGAAAAAGGAAAGAAAACAGAAAAAAAAAAATACAGATTACTGAACATTCTGGAACTCCTGCATATTGGAAACAAAAGCTTTGTCAGCATCTCATGGGACAGTCATTGTGGAAAAACTTGTCAGTTCCTCAAAAGGTAATCACAGAATTGCCAACAATTCCACCCATAGGTATATTTCTACAAAAGTTAAAAATAGATGAATCTTTGACACAGGCTTGTGAAGCCAGCACAGGAGGCAAACAGAAGCAGATAAGTTCAAGACTAGCCTAGGTTCTAAGCCAGCCAGCGTGGAGGATTTGATTTATGCTGGGAATTCGCACATCTGCTGCAGGTCCCTGCCAACAGTTGATTTTTTTGACTGATCAATAAAGAGCCAACAGCCAACGGCTGGGCAGGCAGATGGAGGTGAGACTTGGAGGATTCCCAAGAGGGAATCTATCTTTTCATTCTCAAATCCAGAGAACTCAGCCAGGCAGTGGTGGCACATGCCTTTAATCCTAGCACTTGGGAGGCAGAGGCAGGTAGATTTCTGAGTTCGAGGCCATCCTGGTCTACAGAGTGAGTTCCAGGAAACCCTGTTTCGGGAAAAAAAAAAAAAAAATCCAGAGAACTCTGGTGCTCTGGTGGGTGGAGAGAAGCATGATCACCCAATCACCTGTCAGGATCTCAGACTGGTTTAATGGATTACTGCAACAAGCCAGGGCTACTTAACGATTTTCTGAATTAAAAAAACAAATCAATCTCTAGACATGAAGATTAATATCTACAGTATAACAGTGACCAAAATGTATGAATTGCAGAGTGTGGTGTCGAATGCCTGTAATATAAACAGTCAACAGGAAGAGGCAGATGGACTGTCACAAGTCCCAAGCCAGCCAGAACTAAATAACAATACCCTAGTCCCAGTCACTGTTGAATTTCTGTGAGGAGCCACCATGACCAATGCAACTCTTACAAAAAAAAAAAAAAAAAAGCATTTAATTGGGCACTTGCTTACAGTTTCAGAGATTTAATCCACTATCATATCAGGGAGCATGGCAGCACACTTGTAATGAGATCAGGAGCTAAGAGCTGCTTCCTGCTCCTCAGGGGGGTGGGGGGAAGAGGGGGAGCCTGGCATGTGGCGTGGGCTTTTCTCCAATACAACATCCTAACCCTTCTCATCCTTTCAAAAAGTTCCACTCCCCAGGGACTGAACGCTCAAATCCATGAGTCTATGGGGGCCATTCTTATTCAAAGCATCACATTCTACTCTCTAGCCTTCATGGGCTTATAGCCATACCAAATGAAAAAAAAAAAAAAGTTTTCAATCCAACTTCAAAAGGCCCCATAGTTTATTACAGTCTCAACACTGTAGCCCCCCCATAAAATCAAAATGAAAAAGCAAATCCCATACTTCCAACATACAGTGACCCAGGATATACATTACTATTCCAAAAGTACGGAATGGGAGCACAGTGAGGAAATACTGGGCCAAAGCAATACTGTAAACCAACAGGGAAAATTCTAAACTCTGCACCTCCATGTCTGATGCCAAAGTGCCCTTCAGATCTCCAATTCCTTTTAGCTTTCTTTGTTCCTTACAACACGTTTCCCTCTCTTGGGCTGTTTTCACTCCTGGTCTCCTCCTCTCCTTGGCAGGAATCTGACAACTCTAGCATCTCCAACATCTTGGGGTCCAGTGAAATCCAGGCTTCAACTTCACAGCTTCACACGATGGCCTCTCTGGGCCTCTATGCAGGGCCTCTCCTGACACATGCCTGATTTCACTAGCTTTCCTCAGCCCCACAGACTCCCTTTGTTGGTATCCTTGACTCTAAAGCCAGAACCATGTGACCAAAGCTGCTAAATCAATCTGCTTGTTGGATCTGAAACCTATCCCCCTCCTTCAATCACACCAGCACCCACTGTCTGTTGTTGTTCCTAAGATTCTCTTGAATCCCTTTTCACACACTGGAAGCTGAGCTGGGTGGCTCTGGCCCCAAGGCCACTACTCCACTTAGCTTCAGGCTTTCCCTAAACTGGTTATCTCTGAGCCCTGAACTTGCTGTTAAAGTCACCTTTCCTAGTGTTCCTTTTCTCTTCAAACTGTACATTTTTTTTGTTTCTCTTTGTCCAACTTATCTTATTATAAATCTGCATAAGAGTGGCCACTAATAACCACAAGACAGTGTCAATGCTACAATATCTTGAAATCTCCTCTTCCAGTGCCACAAACTCAAATGTTTCAATTTAGTCCTAGGAAGATTTTCAGGACCAGGGCAAAGAACAGCCATATCTTTTGCCAAAATATCAAAGAACAGTATCTAGGATACATTAATATTTTCCCCTCTGAAACCTCTTGAGCTGAGCTGTTAAAAATTTATACTGCTCTCAGGACTACCCTCTTCCATGCTCCTACTAAAATGGCCCATAAACTCAACCTTCAACTGTCAACTGATTTTCAGCTTTCAACTGATTTTCTAGTCCAAAGTCCAAAGTCTTCCATATTCCTCCAAACAAACACATGGTCTGGCCCATCACAGCAAAACCTGATTGCTGGTACCAATTTCAGGCCTAGTTGCTGTTTTATTTCTTTGAAAAGACAGCATAACCAAGGCAACTCTTAAAAAAGAAAGCATTTAATTGGGGACTGGCTTACAGTTTCAAAGGTTTAGTCCATTATCATCACAACAGGAGCATGGCATCACACATGTAGTAACTGAAAGCTACATCCGGATCCTCAGGCAGAGAGAGGAAAAAAAAAAAAGGAGAGGAGAAGAGAGACAGACAGACAGACAGACAGACAGACAGACAGACAGTAGGCATGGCCTGGGCTTTTGACACCTCAAAGCCCACCCCCAGGACA